GTGATCAGAGATTTGGGAAATCAGAACCCTGGATCTGAGCAAAACCGGTGGCAAACAGAGCTTACACAGGCAGCTATTGAGCTAATTGCGGTATGTGATGGTCAGAGATGTATTTGCATTTTGCATATGTTGTCTTTATCCGTTTCTCTCAACTCCTCCATTTTCTTGTTAGATTCAGCGCCTTCTTGACTGATTTTGATACTACACCTCGGAACTTCTTATGCTCAATATTACTATTTTAGTATTTTTATATCATAGCTTATTTAGGACTTCAATGTTTACCTTTGGAGTATTTTAAATTCATTCTTAGAGGAAGATTCCATTTGCATGTTGTTTTTTTTTTTTTTTGTCAGTTGCATCTTGTATCCATGAGCTTAGTTTGGTAAGTTAACTTGTGAGTTGGCCAGTTCAAAGTATTCTAGGCAAGAGAAGCATAACTTCATTCAAACAATGAGACTAATAATTGATGCAGGATATTGGAACAATCGAATTGTAGAAGAGAATAGAGAGATGTGGGTGGAAAAATTTACAATATATTGGTGTTAAACACTAAACTGTGGCATTATACATGTGCAACCAAAAAATTGGGATATACTACTTAAATAGCAGAAGCCTTCCTACAGTAAACAGAAAACAAAATATTAAGAGAATCAAATTCTAACAAAATATGAAAACCTTTGATGCATGTCTATTTTAAAGTATAGTAAGATAAGATACATTGATATTTTAGATGTCAAAAGAAATCTAACATGTTAAGTTTTTTCCCTCTCCAATGCTCCCCAACCAAAAATGGTGTTTCAGTACAATGCTGTTGGGGATAGAGATTCTTTTGAGTTTAAAATCAAGCATTTTGTGACCCTTTGCTTGGAACTCATTCTAGTAATACATGAAGCATCAAAATTTTGGCTTCTTTTTTGTTGGATAAGTTGGTTAAGAAGACTTCCGTGAGAATTTTGTTCTCATCAGGCACCAACCATATTCCATTCTTGCACTTGTGAGGTTTGGGAAGCCTAGCGACCCATGACTTGCAAAAAACTAGTGGGAAAGGTTGGGAGGATCAAATATGCCTTGGTGGAGCGTTGAATTTCCATACTAATATTTGGACTAACAGTCAACATGTTAAGGCAAATCAAATCATTGGTCTAAGCCTCTAGGTATATGGTATCTATGGCTTCAGCGTGCAAATCATTGTTGGATAACATTGTAGTGATTGCATACTGTAACTTTGTCACCTTGATCAAGTTCTGTAGCCTAGTAGCCTAAAACAAACATTAGCTTGAAATTAGTAGTTGACAGCATGGCTGATTTGTCTTTCCTTAGCTTGCTGATTCAGATTGTGTTGCACAAAGGTAGCTCTAGTTTGTGAAATACTAGTACATCTGGGGTAAAGGGAAAAACTCATTGGGTGTTCTTGAAGTATAAACCTGGTACATCGTCAAACAAGGACTCTTGCCAATCGATCCATTCACTGTGTGTGTGTGTGTGTGTTTTATTATATTATCTTTTTATTTTACACTGGAATGAAACTTAACAACATGCGCGGTTAAGTTCCAACTTCTAAGTATCTAGTTTGCACCTAGAATTTACCTTAAGTGTTCACCTAGACAGCTAGGCTAAGTGTTCTTTACATACTTCCGGCTGTGAATTTGCTGTTAGCCATGCTTGTATATTTTTATAAAATGTTAACGAGAGTTTTGATTGTTTACCTATTTAATTTGTTATTATATTTCTCTCTTGATCCACAGATTGTGACAAATTCAGGCCGTGCAAGCACTTTAGCTGCTACTGATGCTGCTACCCCAACACTGAGGCGTATAGAGAGAGCTGCTATTGCTGCTGCTACCCCTATCACATACCATTCAAGGTACCTTGTATTTGCGATTCTGATCCTAATTTAGTCTCTTGTACTTGTTTGTTCTAATTTTTTATTTATTTATTTATTTAATTTTTTTTTTTTTTTGTATTTTATTTTCAGGGAACTCTTGCTGCTTATGCATGAACATTTACAGGCTTGTGGTTTAACCTCTAGTGCTGCTACACTGATGAAAGAGGCACAGTTGACGCCTCTGCCATCCTTGTCTGCACCATCATCTCTTGTTCACCATGCTTCTGTGCAAGAGATGCCGTCTATACAGATTCAGTGGCCATCTGGTCGAGCTCCTAGTGGATTTCTAAACAAGATAAAATTGCTGGCACAGAATGACGAACTCCCCTTGAAATGTGATTCAGCTGTCTCTTCAAAGAAGAAACCTCTTTTTTTCTCATCTAGCTTCAGTGCTCGATCAAAGGGTAGGCCTTCATCTACTGAGCTCCAAACACCTTTGATAAGCAAATCACACAGTTTTTCAAGAAGGGCTCTGGGACCTGCTACTCTTCCAGAAACTTCTGCACCAACTTCAGATATGACGGCCGATGCCGATACTCATGTGAAAACTCCAATAGTGCTGCCTATGAAAAGGAAGCTTACGGAGCTGAAGGAGGTTGCACCAGCCTCGTCTGCGAAACGATTGAACGCCAGTGAGCATGGATTAAAGTCTCCTGTATTCCAAACTCCTAATGGTGTCCGCAGAGGGAGTCTTTTAAATGACCTTTCTGGTTCCGTTACCCCAAATACTAGTTTCAAGGACTTTTATGGGAGACAAACGCCTTTAGCAGGCCAGATTGATAGTGTTGAGGATGGTCAGTACAATGATACTCCTTTTGCACCCAACACAGGGCTTTCAGGTGACTTACAACCTGCCAACTCTGAAAGGCTGACCTTAGACTCCATTGTTGTTCAGTACTTGAAGCATCAACATCGCCAGTGTCCTGCTCCCATAACTACTTTACCTCCCCTTTCTCTCTTACACCCTCATGTTTGCCCTGAACCTAGACGAAGCCTTGATGCTCCATCTAATGTGACTGCACGTCTCTCTACTCGTGAATTCAGAAGTATGTACGGTGGCATCCATGGTAGTAGGAAGGATCGTCAATTTGTGTACAGCCGGTTTAGGCCATGGCGAACTTGTAGGGATGATGCTGCTGCCCTTTTGACATGCATGACATTTCTTGGCGACTCTTCCCAGATTGCTGCTGGGAGTCATTCTGGAGAGCTCAAAATTTTCGACACCAATAGTAATAACATTTTAGAAACTTGTACCAGCCATCAGACTCCTTTGATACTTGTTCAGTCGTATCCTTCTAATGCAACTAATCTAGTGCTGTCTTCCAGCTCCCTTGATGTTAAGCTGTGGGATGCATCTTCAATATCAGGTGGTCCTATCCAAACATTTGATGGATGTAAGGCCGCTAGGTTTGGCAACGCTGGTTCTTGTTTTGCAGCCTTACCAACTGAAGCATCTCAACGGGAGATTCTCTTGTATGATGTGGCAACCCATAGGTTGGATCAGAAACTTTCAGATACCTCTTCTGGTCCTTCTGGTCGAGGTCATGCATACTCTATTGTGCACTTTAGTCCTGATGATACAATGATGCTTTGGAATGGAGTCTTGTGGGATCGACGGGCTTCTGGTCCAGTGCATCGATTTGACCACCTTACAGATTATGGTGGCGGCGGCTTTCATCCTGCAGGAAATGAGGTGAATCATTATACTATAACATATTTTAATTTTTTATACTTCTCCAAATATTCTAATGGGGGTTTTACCAGTATTAGACCGTCCTTGTCTTGTTTGAATTTGTTAATTATTCCATGCTGTTATTTTAGAATTGCTCCTGAGTTTTGCTTTCTGTTTAATTGGTTGTATGGAGTTAAGTTATATTGTCCAGGTTTTGTGGCATACACCACAGTTGTAATTTTCTGATATTCAAGCTGCACCTTTCCTTTTATTGTGATTTATGTTCATCACATGACAAAGTTTATTTGCATTATGTTTTTCAGGTTATTATAAACTCAGAAGTTTGGGATCTCCGAAAGTTTAGGCTTCTTAGAAGTGTGCCTTCTCTTGACCAAACTGTTATCACATTTAACAGTAGCGGAGATGTCATTTATGCCATTTTAAGGAGGAATCTTGACGACATAATGTCATCTGTTAACACTCGTCGTTGCAAACACCCACTGTTTTCTGCATTCCGCACATTGGATGCTGTCAGCTACTTTGATATAGCCACAATCCCTGTGGACCGTGCTGTTCTAGATTTTGCAGCCGAGCCAACAGATTCATTTGTTGGGTTGGTCACTATGGATGACCAGGATGAGATGTTCTCGTCTGCTAGGGTTTATGAGATCGGTCGCCGAAGACCTCCTGATGACGACTCCGATCCTGATGATGTTGAAAGTGAGGAGGACGACGACGACGATGATGATGAAGATGACGTGGATCTAGATCCTATATTGGGCCCAGATCTTGATGGGGATGGTGATACTGACGGTGATGATATGAGCAACGATGATAGCGGGTCTGACATCGAGGACGATGATGAAGACGATGGTGACTTCTTGGTTGATGGTGGCGGTTACGATGTAGGGGGCGGGCTTCTGGAAATCTTATCAGAAGGCGATGAAGACGACGATGACAGTGACATGATGGGGTCTTTTAGCAGTGGGGATGAATTCATTTAATGACAATGGCCTGATTGAGGGGAGTGGAGTTGTTGGGTTTCAAGGGTCCATATAGGTCACCATTATCTCAAAGGAAAAATGGGGTTTGGTACTTGGTCTTGTAACTATAGGTAGTTTAGGTCACAAATACATCACCTGCCTTCCATGAGTCATAGGAGAGAGAGAGAGAGAGAGAAATGGAGGCTATTCCTTTCCTGTTCAGGATTTTGATTTCATTAATCTAAAGTGTCCTCAATAATTTTCCTCATATGATTGTCATTTTGTTGTTTTGTTAGTTATTATTGTCTACCGTTAATACTAAGTCTATACATACTTTGCCACGCGTCGCGAACTCGTTACTGCCTCAAATGAAATTTAAAGTAAAAAGTTTTACGCAATTTGGATATTTCCAGTCATCATCCCTTTTTTGATGCTGTATCTCCAGTTGTTCAAAAGCGTTTTGATATTGTCTAAATGAAAGGAAGTGTGAATCACTAACCTCCCTCAATTATGGCACTATATGCTAAGAAATTCATGATAATCTTAAAAAATAAAAACAAAAAAAAACCTGACATGTCTTTTTCTGCTGTGGGTTCGTTCATTCATGCACCCTATAAAACTATAAGAACCACATGAACATGCTATGATAAACAAGCTCTTAAGACTCTTCACCACTGAAAGTTTGTGTGGTTTACTAATTTTAAGCTGTACTTCCAAAGTTACAGTAATTTGTTTTTTCTTCAGCTTTTCGGGCCACCGTTCAATAATTCATTTGCCCATTCATATGTTTGCTGTCTTTACTGCAACTGAATCCAGGACAAAGTTGCTTTCCTGCTGTATTATTTAACTCTCTTTGATTCTCTCTCTCTTGCTCCCACATTCTCTATTGGTTCATATATTCTCTCATTTCTCATAACCCAGTAGCAGTATCTTTTGAGTTTCAGCAGTGTTCTTTGAAGCTTAAGCTCTGCAAGTGTGATATCATGGTAATGCTACATGAGTTTTTTTTTTTAACTGTCTTATATGTTTGTGTTTTCGACTTCCACCTGATTTATTTTTGCAATGATTATTGCAGGTTTTGGTTGGAGATTATGACAAACATGGTGACGATAGTGAAGCTGTAGTAGACTATAATGGAAATCCAGCAGACAAGACTCGTACTGGAGGGTGGCTTGCTGCTGGCCTCATTTTAGGTTGGTATACATGCAGTTTTGAGCTACGTTCTTCCCTGTTTTTACTTTTTATTTGTGACAGCTGAATTCTGACAAGTTTTTTCTTGTTATTATAGGGACTGAATTTGCTGAGAGAGTATGTGTTATGGGGATTTCGATGAATTTGGTCACGTACTTGGTTGGATCTCTGCATCTTACATCATCAAAATCTGCTACTATAGTGACCAACTTCATGGGAACTCTCAATCTTCTAGGCTTGTTTGGAGGATTTGTCGCTGATGCTAAGCTAGGACGGTACTTGACTGTTGCTATCTTTGCATCCATAGCAGCTGTGGTGAGTTTCAGCTTCAGAGCTTACAAATCTAGATTAAAATAACTGAATAAGCTTATTTTATATTTTTGTTCCAGCAAAAAGTATGTCACTAACAAATCATATTTTTTTGCATGACATAGCTTCTAGAAGTAGAATATTAGGTGTATCTGAATTCGATTCTATATTCCAATCTAATATAATCATCTCCAAGCCTCGCGGAATCAAACATAATATTCTGAAAGTTACATAATATTAATAAATAGAAAGTAAAATAAAAATGAAGAACTTGAGAATTACATTAAAATATCAATATGTTGAGTAAATCTTCATGTCTACCTTTTACATTAACCATCAAATTATGTGGCTGCTTAAGATACTTTTTCATGTTTCAGGCCAATTTAAGCTGTCTGTAATATGTCCAGTCTAAGACTTAAACATTTCACCAAAAAAAACAAAAAAAATTAAAAATAAAAAATAAAAAATAAAAATAAAATAGAGAGAAAGGTTAATTGTCCTAGGCATGAGCTCCTGAGGTAGAAGGAAGGGATGAAGTAATTGCAGCACCTCTATTACTCACCCGGGTTCTGATTGATATACCAATATTTTCTTGGGTATCCCTAGCTTTAGGTATACGTTATACCCAGGTGTATATAAGAATTTCCAAAGTGAATGGGCTCTTAGGACTGATTGTGATTTTATTTCTGTTTGTTTCATTTTATTCATTGCAGAGTCTTAAGTGCTTTTTCTTCTTGTTTTATTATTTCTCGTCGAGTCTAAAAACATTTTTCTCCTGTTATGTAATGTGAAGTATTGGCTTAATTTATGTAATCTTTTATGGATAAACCAGGGAGTGTCACTCTTAACATTGGCAACCTCACTTCCAAGCATGAGACCCCCTCCATGCAGCAACATAGGGGCACCAGATAGCGACTGCATTCAAGCCAATGGCAAGCAATTAGCCATGCTCTATGCCGCTCTTTACATCCTCGCCCTAGGTGGAGGGGGCATAAAGTCCAATGTCTCAGGCTTTGGTACTGACCAATTTGATCCATCAGACCCAAAAGAAGAAAAGGCCATGATATTCTTCTTCAACAGGTTCTACTTCTGCATCAGCATAGGCTCGCTGTTTGCTGTTACTGTCCTTGTTTATGTTCAAGATGATGTAGGAAGAGGGTGGGGTTATGGCATTTCAGCTGCAACCATGATGGTTGGGGTCCTTGTTTTACTGGCTGGAACACGGTTGTATCGGTACAAGTCTCCTCAGGGAAGTCCCCTGACAGTTGTTTGGAGGGTGCTTTTCCTGGCCTTTAAGAAGAGGAAGCTTCCTCATCCTTCTCATCCCAGCTTTCTGAATGGGTTTCAGACTGCCAAGATCCCTTACAGTCCTTTGTTCAGGTAAATATCTTCCTTTTGACACATTTTTTTCCTTTACTAAATAAAATAAAAATAGAAATAAAGGAAATCTAGAAATATCTTTTAATGGGGTCCTTTTAGTCCTTTATTTAATTGCTTTGGCTGTTTCTTTTTTTCTCTAAATTATAAACTTTTAGCATATCCTATATAATACATACAATAATTGGCCTTTCTTCTAGGGTGGGGGTGTTGGAGGACCCTATTATGGATAATTTATAAGCTAATCTTTGGAATTACAACTTTGCATAATATCAATCAATTAATGCAGTCTCTGGCATTTGTTATACCAAACAAATTCAATCATTGTCCTGGGATTCCAAATCTGTTCTTTCTGTCCTGTATTGTTTTGTATTTCGTATGTACTCGAAAATCAAGAACAGTAGATGGATAGAAATAAGAGGATGTGTGAGGTTAATTAAAGAAAAAGTAAGAGAGTGTGGGGATTGAGAGAAAAATAAACACAAAAGAATAGATTCAATTAAATATCATGTAGACAAGTGTGTGACTAATTTTGACAACAATTTGACTTAGCAAAACTGAGCCGACTTGAAAGAATCTGACCATACCCGAAATTGGATAACCCTATTTGATTCAAATTTAAATTAATCCTAATCAACCTGAATATGACTAAAATAAGCCAAATTTCTAACTAAATTGACAATTTTTGAAATCTCCTCTGAAGCTTTTAGAAAACTTTTTTTGGATGAGAAAGAAAGTTTAGATATGAAGACTAAGTTTGTGAAATTTTGAACCTGCAGATGTCTTGACAAAGCGGCCATCATAGACGATTTTGCTGCAAAGGACGAAAACAGGTACAATCCATGGATAGTCTCAACAATGACAGAAGTTGAAGAGGTGAAATTGGTGCTTAAATTGTTCCCCATTTGGTCTACCTGTATCCTCTTCTGGACAGTCTATTCTCAGATGACTACATTCACCATTGAACAAGCAACTTTCATGGACCGAAAAGTAGGATCCTTTGACGTTCCTGCTGGCTCGTTCTCTGTATTCCTCTTCATTTCAATCCTCCTCTTTACCTCCTTGAACGAAAGGGTATTCGTCCCCATTGCCAGGAGACTCACACACAATTCTCAAGGCCTCACGAGCCTTCAAAGGGTCGGGATTGGTCTTGTGTCTGCTATGTTAGCGATGATTGCTGCTGCCATTGTTGAGATACACAGGAAACAGAGAGCACATCATGGAATTAAAATCAGCGCGTTCTGGCTTGTCCCTCAGTACTTATTTGTTGGTGCAGGGGAGGGATTCGCTTATGTTGGCCAGCTCGAGTTCTTCATTAGGGAGGCCCCTGAAAAGATGAAATCTATGAGCACTGGTAAGTAGCAGAAGTTGTACTTTTCATACAGAAATTTCCCTAAAACTATATCTTTAACGCGTTCTCAATATCTAAAATCTAAACTGTCTTTTTACAAATGCAGGGTTCTTCCTGAGTACTCTTGCAATGGGATTTTTTGTGAGCAGCTTGCTAGTTTCGATAGTAGATGAAACATCACATGATAAATGGTTGAAGAGTAACTTGAATAAGGGGAGGTTGAATGATTTCTATTGGCTGCTCGCCGGGTTGGTGGCAATAGACTTCGTTATTTTTCTAATTTTCGCCATGAAACATCAGTACAAAGTAAAGCAACACTTAGAAGTGTTAAAAAGTGATGAGAAGGAACTCGAGAGTTGGGAGAAAGGTAATGGAGTTGCTTAGTGTAAGGATGCATGAAAGAAAATGTTCATGTACAATTGATTAGGGGAGTGTTTCATCCGAACTATGTAAATCATGTAGAGCTCGGAGCTCGATCCAATAGTTTCAATAACCTCAAGGTACAAACCTTAAGAGGTTAATTATTGTTAGGAATTGTAGTGTGCTTTAGTTAGAGTAGTTTATGTCTTGCACTAAGATTGTCGTTGATTCTCTACAATGTGTAAATTGCAAATTCTCCATCTCTATAAAGAGTTGAATATGTAGCAATGGTTTTTCTTTGATGTTTTGACTATTAACTTTTAGCTAATATAATTCACAACGGTTGATGACTAGGTTGCAATTAGACAAAGAAAGGCACAAACGACAAAGTTTAAAATTGTTTAGTTATGAATAAAAGAAAGTGACAATGAATGTAAATAATTTCATACTTTAAATAAAATCTTAACCGCACATTTTATAAGTTTCTAAAAGCAAATCGATATTACTTTAATGTGTCGTTTTATATCTTTTGAGGTGGCAATTTCACATAATCACTTTAAATAAATTCTTGTTGGAGGAATGTATCAAAAAATTGGGCACAAAAGATCAAAGTTAGGTTAGATGACATGACAATGGATAGATGAGGTGTGGAAAATATAATAAGGAAAATGTATACGTTATGTTTCAAAATAAAAATTTAGCTTGATATCTAGCATTGATCATTTTTTTCCCATCCTCAATTTTTTGTTAAATTGAAAAGGGAAAACGAGAACAAAAATGTCGAGCAAAGTAGCATCCTAATCACTGCACACTCATTTCGTTTTCTCTTAAATATATCACTTTAATTTTTTTTTGAATTTTTTCACTAATTATAGTAGATGTTATTTTGTATCATATTATTTGATTATTCACAATATTTATTTTCATATTTCAGTTTATTTTCTTAAAATTTTTATTTATCGACAATTTAACTATATTAATGATTAAAGTTGTATTTTTGCCAATTTAGCCCTCAAAAAGTTATGCATTTCAAACAAAAACATAGAGAACATTAATCTTGACAAATTTATCTAATTCATTAAACGAAAAAAATTAGATGAGTCGGATTCACGGTGAGTCCAATATATTTGACATTAATAATTTAATATCTGACATTAGACTATAAGATTATTAATGCCAGATATTAGATTATTATTGTCAGATACTTCCTCTGTTTCTTTATAGTTGCAACACTTCTCTTTTCACTCTTTTCACGTTTGCCGATGCATGATTTCAATCGTTAATATCTTTAACTACCAATATGTACAAATTATAAACATTTGATATTAAAATAGTATAAATCTAGACGAATGTAACAAGATTCCACCAGACTATATTTTTGTATAGCTATAAATCATCAAATTTAGTCAAAGTGGAACACATAAATAGTGTAAAAGTGAAACTGTTGCAACTATAAAAAAAAACAGAGGAAGTATTAGATTTCTCATGTCAGATATTAGATTATTAATGTCAGACATTAAATTATTAATGTCATATATTAGATTATTAATGTCATATATTATATTATTAATGTTAGATATATTGAACTCACAATGATTCTGCTCTTACGCAAAACGTTTTCTTAAAAGCCTCAACATACCACATTTTTTTTTTTTTTACTTCTTTTTTTTTTTTTTTTTTTTTTTTTTTTTTTTTTTTTTTTTTTGTTGTTGTTATATGTAGTCCTCAATTAATCTAAGGTTTAATACGCTCAAACCATATATTTGACAATGGTAGGGAAGGGAGCAATACTAAATTCATTGTCCCATATCATATTGAAGACAATTTGGTAATTGAGACGTCGTCCAATAGCCATACTTCTACTCTCTATGCTAGTCATTGTAGACCACATGTTTAATTAGCTAGAGTGTACAAGTGGTCATTATAGATCATTTAATTAGCATGTTTATGATTAAGAGGTTTAGCTATCTTAATTGCGATTGTTGGGACCACGTGCATGCCAACTTGCAAGAACATTCAAAGAAGAATTAGCAACATAATCTAAGAAATTAAGGAGGGAGCACAATTAACTTAAGCAATAAGAAACTTAGAAGTAGTAAACAACAAAATCCATTATTTCATGTAAAATCCTTAACTTTCATCAAAGTAATCATCATTGGCAACAAAATTAATTTGATTTTTCAATAATCATTCAATGTCCAACATGTAGCTTAATCCATATCAATCATTATGGGAGTGATAAAAAAAATGACTCTTATAAAAATGAGACATAAATATATGAAAATGATATTTGAGTGTCATAAATGAGACTAATATTAAAAGAAATAATGCTTATAGAATTGAGATTAAGTATTATATAAACGAGACTCAAGTGTTTTTTACAACCAGATTTATACGGCTAGTATTTCAAAATGAGCTAAGTTTGTAAAAAATAAAATTGAGAAACTTTTTTTTTAATTAGAAATTAATAAAGCTTAATTAAACTACCTAAATAGACGTTTAAAAATGAGAAACTTATTAGTTTTTGAAGGATATAATTAATATATATAAACAAGGTCCAAGTAATATTTGAAAATGATATCTGAGTGTTCAAAATTGAGACCCACCCAAAACACCACCAATTTCAACATGAGTTTATTTTGTGGAATGTCTTCATTATGAAGTCACTTTTTGTCACTTTTTTGGTTGCTAAAACTTGTAGAACTTGAAAAATTAAAGAACATATGATCAAGAATAAACATGTGCCATATAAATTAGACCTTGTGAAAGTAGTGCACCTTACAGTCGAGTATATAAAAATTTTCAATGAAAGTTTGGTATGCGACGCATTGTTGATGTTGATATTGTCCTTGCTACTCCATCAAACTACCACCTCTTAATTTTAGCTTCTTTCTTCCAATATTTTTTTGAATTTACTTTTGGGGTTTGTCAAATTTAAATAGATAAATTTTATGTTGTTTGAACAATAAGAAATTGAATGAATTATAAACTATATGTGATGATTGATGTTGTTTCAGATTTTCGATCTTTATAGTTGCAAACGACAAATAAGACAAGGAGAAGTATGTAGAAGAGAGAGTATAATGGGTGGGCCAATTTGTGTCAAAGTGGGATAAAAAATTATGTCCGTTTTTTTTATTATGTGCAACATAGTCTATCTATATATGATCTAGTCTAGTCTATGAAAACTCAAATCACTAGCTCCTTTTTTTTCGCTAATTTAATGTAATGTATGTATTGAATGATTTTTTAATATAGGACTTCTCCATAACTTAATAATTTTAATGCATTTATCTAAGTATTATGAATTGTGATGTTTATCTTTCCTCCCCTAACTCATTATTTTATTTTTCTAAATCAATTGTCATTTGGGCTTTTACATGATTTTTATTGGGCTAAAATTCATAAATCACAATGGCAAGTTGCTACTCCAACTTTTTGCAAAGATGTTTTAGGGACCAAGTACTCAAGTATGAGCCCTTAAATGATTTGTCATTTGATCTTAAATTTTGTATGTAAGGTATTCCTCCGTTCTTTTTTTTTTTATTGTACCATTCACGCTTGTCAATGCATTATTTTAGCTATTAATATCTTCTATTATACTTTTGTAAAAATTATAAAAATTTGATATTTGAAAAGTAGATTTTGAGACGAATCTAACTATGACTATGTTTTTCCTAATGAATAAATCACAAATGTTGGTCAAAAAAAATTAAGTGAATAGTGTAAAAGTCCTTATGGTGCAGTAAAAGAAAAACAGAGGAAGTATTTTTTTTTTCTTTATTAAATATACTAGTACTATGTAAATAATATGTTCTCTAATACTATCTCTGTATTTTATTATTTGCAACAAAGAGGTATTACCTTTGAGATATAATAATAGAGCAACTCCAATGCCAAGCTAATTGTCAAATTAGTTTGTCATGCCACATAAGCTTTTTGGCTAATCATCTTTCTAGCTAATTTGACTCCTAATGGCTAGCTATTAGCTTACTGTTTAAATTAATAATTTATTATTTTCATCTTAATTACTTACTTTTAGCATTCTCTTTGGCAAGTTTCTTTTTTCAAGCATTTGCTTGGCCAAGCTAATTGTATATTCTAGCTCAAATGGCCAAGCTAGTAGCTAGGGATTATTTAAAATTGCAAGCAAGTCCCTAGCTATAACTATTGGAAGTAACTCTAAATTCCTTTGTTGCAAATAATAAAACACAAATGTAGTATATTTGTATTAAAAAGTTGTGGCATAGTTAAGAATTTTAATTTTTGAAATAGAATTGTTGGATTAAAAACCCCCAACTTTAATTTTTTTGTCAAGAACCACCAATAATGATAATTATGGTTTTTAAGCTCATAAATATTAATTGTTGACGAAGAGCTCATAAACATTGTTAAAGCTCTATTCTCTTCACCTTATTTTTCTGAACTAGAACTATTTTTATGGATTTGAGATTATCTTTACTAATTAAAACATATTTTACTGATTCTCCATTATATATGCTCTTTAAAGTTACTAAATATTATTGATAAAAAATTATTTTTACTGAATTATAATTATTTTTTTAATGAATTTATTTTTACTAAACTAAATTTATTTTTACTAAGTATTATTATATTTTATGATGAAGAGAACATAGCCTAAGTACGGTAGTTTAAAGTTATGAGTTTGGGTTAGTATTACTCCGTATGATTTATGGATTAGTTATGCTTTATTGATAATAATAATCTTTTCGTCAAAAAGATAATAATAATAATTTTTGGCTTAATATTATGAATTCTTGTCATCTAACAGATTTGATCACGTTAAACAATCTAACACATAAATTAGCATAACTAGATGAAGCCCGTGCGATGCACGATTTGTTTGTATTTTTTCAAAACAATTTTTTTTTTTTTTTATATTTATAAATTGTGAATCTCCATTCATTCGTTATATATTTAGATAAAATTCCTAATTTCAAAAGATAATATATTATATTTAATTAATTCAAACTTTAAAATCCCATTCGCCAATTTTGCGTGGCATTTGAATTATTTAATTCTAAAAGAAATTACAAATCTCTTATTTGATTGGCTATCACTTAAATTTATACTCTCTCGTTAAGAAAATTCTATCCTATGTGGCTTTCTAAAAACTCGGGAAAAAACTCCCTTTATATATATACTAGTTTTGTGCCCGGGCGATGCTTGGATTGTTGATAAAATTTTAGGATAAATTTTTTGGCTTAAATGTTAAATACGATCCTATAATCCCTTTTGAAAATGAAAAATATTTAAGCATATGATATCATATCTGTAATAC